TCTTATTCATCTTGAAACTCAAATGGTAGTAAGTTTTTAATAAATAATTAATGAAAATACATTTCTTACACCTGACAAGCGGGGAAAAGTTGTTCTTACAGAGTGCAAATCATGTGATATTTTTCGAGGGTGGTGTCAAATTTTATTCACTTAATTATTTATATGAGAGGGAATTTTGAACCATAAATAATTAGAAAAAAAAGTTCTTACAACCTGAACGCGGACCAAAAGAGTTCTTACACTACTTTCAAAGTAAAAATAGTTAATATCCAACGTATTCATTGGTATAGTGCGCATACAGTAATTAACAGTACGTGTGACTAATAACATGAATATTTGAAATAATAAAAGAAACGATGTAAATCAATAAAAGTATTCATTGTTTATTACATTTGTTTAATAAAACCTGACATTAAAAATTATATATCGTCAATTTCTTCATCTTCATCTGAATATTCTGGGGAGGAATTGGAATCGTCATCCGAAAATTCTGTTTCTAAATTTTCCATCAGGTGGCCAATATCACCGTCATTTATTTCCTCTGATTGATCTGGAATAAAATAATATTTGAGTACTTGCTGAAAATTTTAAAGGAACTTTTAATAAATACTAGAGTACCTTCATTTTCTACAATGGTATTGTCTAGTATGATTTCGTCGATGAGTGGCGGTAACTGGTCACCTTCAAACCATTTAAAACAGTATATGTTTTCCTCCTATGTTTTCCATATAATTTCGTATAGTTTATCTATTTTTTATGTTTACATGCGATTAAATCCATTGATGAAGTAAAACTAAATAATAACTGTCGCATGCGCACTGCAGCAAAAGAGCTCAGTGGATATTCTCAATTATCACTTTGAAAGTAGTGTAAGAACTCTTTTGGTCCGCGTTCAAGTTCTAAGAACTTTTTTTTCTAATTATTTATGGTTCAAACTTCCCTCTCATATAAATAATTGAGTGAATAAAATTTGACACCACCCTCGAAAAATATCACATGATTTGCACTCTGTAAGAACAACTTTTCCCCGCTTGTCAGGTGTAAGAAATGTATTTTCATAATTAAATTACTAAAAATTAACTACAAAATCAGTTTCATAATGAATAAGATTTTACATGTCAGCTATTTTTTTTGTATACTCCCCCGCAACAGCTATTGCAGTTGTCCCATAGTTTAAGTGTAAGAAATGGGTTTTCGACATCAGAATAACGTACTTTATACAATGTATGACGTATTTTGGTGAATAAGATTTGACAAAAATTTTTGTCGCAGGCTCCCGGTCTATCTCGGTTCGCAAACAAAGACTTTTCAAACTCGTAGGAAAACTACTATTTCTAGAAATTTGAAAATAAGTCATTTTATTAAATAGATTAAGATGTATATTTCTACAGTTGATCAATACATGCATATTACAGTAACATTCAATCGCAAAAAATCTTCAAAATATAAACAAAATCACCGATTCATTGCCACTACTTCATTGTAAAAAATACGTCACATTTAAGGCTTGATAATAATTTGTATAAATTAAATGCTATAATCTATCGTTTTCGAAGATGAGCCTCTTTCAATAAACTACTCGGCCTTGCCACAATCAAATTTCTTCCTGCCAATTTGTACTTATCAAAATTTTCTTCAACGTCTATCGAGTCTTGTAAATTTTTAAAATAAACATGGCAATACCTGAGCTCAGAATTCGATGTCACTTTAATAAAACTGATGGCAATTGGTTCATAGTTCTCAAACAAGTGCAACATGTAACCAACACCATAACGAGGATGAATGTTCCCCACTATAACTTCTCCTGCTTCTAGTACAGGATAAGATGGTACAAGTTTTACTTTTGTAACTAGGTCAGGTATTTGATCACTCTCATTACCACTAACAAGACTATCAACAAAGTTATTCATCGAATCATTATGCAAAGCAGTATCATCCATTGTTACTTCTGGAGAAGAAAGAGGAGCACAGACTTTTTCCTGTTTTGTAAAAATTTTGTCAAGTGAATCAAGTGACGCCGAGCTCCTAGCAGAAAAAAATGAATCCTGTAAGCTATAATTATCATTAACCATACTTTTTGGAATATTGTGTATTTTTTTAAACAACAACGACTCAGTTTTGCCATTACGTTGTTGTTCACTGCTAACTTGAGAACTGCAATCACTACTAAACTGTTCACTCTTATTGTGTAAAGGGTTTTTTCTCTGGAACAAATTTTTTTTGTAGTCCTCCTCTGAATCAGTTTTATTTGGCGATCTGACATCTTTGTTGACATTAGTGTTACTAGCAGTGTTTGTTTTATTCTTGTTTTTTTTTGGTGGTCGATGCTTTCGTAAGCTGATAGTCGGATGGTCCTCTAAGTTCTCGATGGCCCTCTCGGTGTCCTTCAAAGTTGTGAATTGTACAAATCGAAGTCCCTTCTCGTTGCCTGCTTGGGTTACATTTTTGACGTAGCCAAACTCGGAAAAAATTTCACGTATTTCCTCAATTCCGAGAGCATGTTTGTTGGGGAACATCAACCAGTAATTTCCAACAGAGTCCACTGACCACAGAGGTCCATCGTCATCCATTTTCGTGCTTCAAACGTGAAGAAAGGTTAACTACTGTGCTGCGCGATCTGCAAGGGTTATTTTTATTGAGATGTTGAGTTGTGATATTGGCAGACTGGCGACAAAAATATTCAATTTACCTACTAATCTATATATACTTACTTTTTAATCTTTTCAACACTTAATTTCACTTCACCGAGACCTGCGGGACTCATGCGGTAACAAAGCAAAGACAAGCTGAAACACCGTATATAGTACTTAGTTTGTTTACCAAAGGGGGTGTACGTACTAGTATATAATACATTTATTGTACGTGATAAAAATATACTTATATTCGATTTGCTAAAACTTAATGTTTGTGAAAGTCATTAAACAAAAAATACATTGATAATTAACATGCGAGTTTGAGAAGCAGACGATATTTGATTTGGTTACCGAATTTTCAACCAATAAAAATTCATTATATTATTGGATTTTTTTTTTAAGTTACATTGGATCCAATCACTACAAAGTTAGATTTTTCGCAATAATTTCGTTATATTTCTCTATATTGCTTTTTCACCGGTACCATGTCACGTCGAATGTGTTTAATATTGCAAAAAAAATGTGCAATTCTATATTGTGCATATAGAATATGGATTTAAAAAGTATCAAACTACATTAAAATTTTTTTAATAAAAATAATGTATAATATATAGATTAGAAAATGAACATTAATGTGCGTCTATATGATAAGTATATTATCATCTACATGGTGACATATATATATCGTTATAGCGCGTCATCTATACTTAAAGTGTTTGAGTTGGAAAAATCGGAGTTCGGAGTTTGGACTGTTTGGATTGGGAGCGATTCACTTTACATACTATACCCAATACTACTTGCCTATATGATTATGAAGTCGAAATTTTGAAAGAAAAAAATTTTTGGGATTAGCTTTCTATAGTTAAAGTTGGTATATACCTAAGTACCACTGCTTTATGCTTATCTTTATACGATTCCTATGAACAAACTACAATAACTAGGGTGAAGTAGTTTTGTGCATTTACGTATCCACGTGTCCACTGACCATATACTCTTGGTAAGAGGCTCTTATAAGTATACGTGTTCTTATTTATCCAGAAACGGAAACTGTTTTCTTTTAAGTATTTGCTTTTTCTCCTCTACCCTCTACTCAATTATAAGTACTCTGTTTATATGTGCACTGCATCATACGGCCACATCGATTGTGATCCAACGTTTGTGAAAGAAAGATTTAAATTCTCTAGTAAGCATATTACAATAAGGACCAGAACACATTTTGTTTCTTTGTGATGGATGGTGTGTTTTTAAAATTTCTTAGTATTAACTTTTACCATTAGTAAGTTCTTACAAGCAATCCATTTAGATTTGTTTAATTTTGATTATCATAAATTTTTGCTAACATTTATTAACGTTTCCTTAAAAATTTATTTTCTTGTTGTAAAAATAGCTTTATTATGAATAAAAACATATTTTTAGGTTAGAAAATCTTGCATGTGTTGGAGCATTGCTTTGATATCTCAGTAATAAAATTTCCACATATTTACAAAAAATATTTTGAGTATTTTATTATTATCTACCCTTTAAGAACATTTTATAAATATTAAGTGTAGGCATTTGCCATATTATTTTACTAACAACTGTGAATTTTTTAGATTCAAAAATGGATACTGATGATTATGTACACGAAAATAATAAAGTATTCGATATTTTATTCCAAAATATCAAAGCTTTTGAGCTGGAAGAAATCAGAGGATTTTTTGAACGATTTGGTTGTTTTGATGTAAAGTCAGCTGGAGATGAAACTGGTTATCGGTTTGTTAAATTTAGGAGTTACGATGATGCTAAAAGAGCATTTGAAGCATACAAGGAGAATGAAAACTTCAAATTTCTAAAACCTCGTAAAAAGAAACAAGAACAATCGAATCCTATATGGGAGGACCGAAATATAAATGTTTCTGTTGGCAATAGTGGTAAAGATGGTGAAAGTAACAATAGTGGCCAAAAAAATAGAAGAAATTCTAATGCTAAAGGTAAACAGAACTGTAGACATGATTATGGAAATAAAAGTTCACCTAAGTCTTCAAATGACAACGATGGCTTTGAAAATCATTTTTCTGCAGCTGACTCTGAAAGTTACAATTCTAACAAATCGGACAGTAAAGATTCGAGTCATTTATTTAACAGCAAACCAAAGTATAATTCTAATAATTTAGACATGAATTATTTAAAGAAAAAATGGAACTCTAACGTTAATAATCAGACAAGACCAAACAATTCAAGAAACTCACAAGGCAATTCTACTGATGCAATGACACAGGAAACCAATCTAGAAGAAATGCCTGATCTTGAATTAGTAAAATCTAAGGATTCAACGAGGCCAATACTGGATGCGCAGGAAGTTGTTGTCGGAAACATCCCATGCAATTATGGGTCTGCTTATATTTTGCATTTGTTTGACAATTTTGAGCCACTTGCAGTCAGTAACGTAGTAATTGAACCAAAAACAAACATTCGGTACTGTTTTGTGTATTTCAAGTCACCTGAAGACTCCACTAGAGTAGAATCACGTTTTGATCGATTAGATATTGAGGGAAAGAAGTTAGTTGTTCTACGTCCTACCAAATTGATGGAAGAAGCAGCTTATTAATTGACATAAACGTGTATAGTACATTATAATAGTCATCAAAAATTATTGTATTCAAAGTTTTGCTTATTTTATTTTTTTACACTGACATGATGCACGATAAGTTTCATATTGCAACTTGTAATTAAATAAACTCAATTTAGAGTATTAAAAATTGAAGCATCCCCAAAAAAGTATCCATTTGAATTTAAAAAAGCTTCAAATTGTGTTTTAACTTGTAATAATGTAAATTAATGTAGTGCAATAGTTTTACAATAAACTTAAATACTGTTGAATACACTTTAACATAATTGTACATTACTAATTATTCCTAAGAAATTATTTATCAAATGATGTTAAAAAAAAAAAAAAAAGACTTTCAAGGGAGAAAGTAAAAGTTTTTAAGTAACTCACTTTATAAGTCTGGAATAAAAATTTTTAAATGTATAGTTTAATACATGTATTTATTTGACATTTTGAATTCTTAATGGAAATTTCTCAAATTTATCAAGAATGACATAAAATTTATTTAAATGTTTGTTCATTTGTTTCCCAAATATAATAATTTGTATATAAATGCATCTTTCATAAAAAATCAAAGAACTTTGCTCGCAACATGTAAGAATTTTTTTGAATTAAGGGATGCTCATCAGCGATCTATTCTGTAGTGACAACAGCCGATAAGGATACACACTTGTACCCGCAGATAGTTGTAGCAGTTATCTTTTCAGCAGGAGGCGCTCCTGGGTAAGCTGCTCCAAAACTCAAACTCTGAACTGAAGTTGCGAATCGCATTCACCAAAGTGTATATATCTTGACTATAGGGTCTGGTGGACGGGGTGACGCGGTCATCGGTGTTTCTCTTCGAGTTCGAGGTCGGCGATAGTGGCGAGCTGTTGTTGTCCTGTGCCGCTGCAGCCACTGTTGCTGTAGAAGGTACTTTACCTATAAGTACCAAAGTACTCCCGACCGACCTTGAAACTTTCAGTGTATACGTAAAGTAGCGACAATCCGTCGAAAGGAATTGCGAAAAGTGCAAACAGAGTACCTTATAAACGAGTTTCTACCAATACTGTTGTATATACCTTTGCCTGTACTCTCTATTTATACGCATCACATACAATACAAAGAAGTATACGTTGTATGTGGGTAGTGGTACGTACTACGTACGCGCGAGCCGCGAGTGTAAGCGAGGAAAAAAGCCTCTTCGTATACTTGAGTTCTTGTAAAATGTGTCCATCATATACTTAAGATCGTGCGCGAATAAAAATATTTTAGCTCAGAAAAACGCGAGTATCACGAGAGGAGCGCGTACTTATAATATGTATGTATGTGTGTATCCAAAAGCGGCCTGCCTGTAAGTTGCCTACCGTCAAAAACGAAGGGATTAATGCACTGTACGAATTGTAGTGTGTGTAAAAGTAGTGTGTAGACTGTAGACCGTGTAGAGAACGAAGCCAATCCTCTGGAGACGGAAACAAAGAGAGGAACAACATCACCATCGTCAGAGGCGCATAACCTGAAAATAGTGTTCCCTGGTGTGCGGTGTACACCTAGGTGGTATACACATATACATATATAGATATATATATATATAGGTGGTGCACTGCGTTGTCAGCATCAGCAGTATAGCAGCAGAAGTAGTAGAGTGCGAGTGCTAATTCCAGCGAGCGGACGCGGCGCGCGAGGAGTAGCGTCTCCCGTCGTGCGTAGCTGAACCCGCGCACAAAAACACACAGACTCGTCGTCCGGTTGATGGATGATACTGGCAGGATGCTACAACACGGTGGTTCAAACGTCGGTCTGATGGGCGGTAATCAGGGCCAGGGCGGCCAGAACAGCGGTGGCTACGGGAACATGGGCCCGGTCGACGGCTCGGCGGGCCAGGGACCCGACCAGGCGATCGAGGCGCGCAAGCAGGACATTGGTGACATACTCCAGCAGATTATGAACATCACCGATCAGAGCCTGGACGAAGCTCAGGCAAGGTGAGCAAAAGATCTTCCTGACCCAGCTAGTAGCTTCTCTCTCTCTCTCTCTCTCTCGACCAGTGCGGCTTGCTTACATTGTGTGGTTTTTGGATGCTGTGCGTGCGAGTGTGTATGTATAAATATGGGTGTACGTGTGTGTGTGTGTGTGTTGCAGTGCTGCGTATACATTTAAACATTTTTTGTTGTATTTATAAATGTTGGGTGCATGAATACATATTTGCTTTTGACCAGTATGGTGGATTTTTAATTAGGACCAAGTGATTCGTTGGGTGTTTTGAATGCATTTTAAATACACATTAATTATTTTATCAACCATGTAAATAGTCGGTTTGATAGTCGGTTTCATCGTCCAAGTATTTTAACAGTTTGTTTGTAAACAGAGTAGCAGATCAACAGCTGTTTGTGTGCACACATACATGTCATATAGTCACGTAAACACAGCACTTGGTCAATAAAATGTTACAACACCATGCTTGTAGTTTTATATAAATTAAAAACAACTGCGACTCATGAACGACTCAATTTTCAGAAAGCACACGTTGAACTGTCACAGAATGAAGCCAGCTCTGTTTTCGGTGCTTTGCGAAATCAAGGAAAAAACTGGTAAGTAAACATTATTTGCTACCTAATGCAATTCGTTACAATCGTCGTCACAACGTTTTTTTTTTAAAAACAAACAAACTCTCCAGTAGCGTAATGCGTTCGCGTTTGGACTCCAAAAGCTGTGTTTATTTTTGGCTGAAAGCTCCATTGTCAAAATTGTTTGATAAACGTAAATCTTATCTCCCACACACGGTTTGTTGATCTTGCGATTACGCCCAAGATCCTTAGCACACAGAAGCTTTCTTATTACATTTTTTCGCCATAACTAACGCTGTGTCATTACGCCACTTTTCAATTTATCACGTACGAGTAAATTTCCACCCGTGCAATTTAACACGCATGGCTAACAATATTTTATGAACCCTCAAGAAAACATTACTGGTATAAGATTCGTTGTATAAGATCGTATGGCTATGTGGTTAAACATTTTTATCGATCATCAAAAGAGAAAAGGGGAATAATCATCAATGAAGGCCCATCCACACCCCTAGACGCAGCCCATCCAGGACAGTGAAATAAAAACAAGCGCGTATCTCGGCACACCGTAAAAACTAAAGAAGCCGGGGTGGGTTGGCGCCTCCTCATCCTTGCGTCACGGTCGTATAATGAAGTTGAAAAAATTCAATCGCAACCGACCGAGGGTATATACACACGGGGGAGACGCCGCCGGATCGAGGGTTTCCCCGCCATTTGAAACTCGTAAACATAATTTTTACGCGCCGCTTGGATTACAATTTGCTCGCCGATCATCCAGAGACCGCGAAACGCGCGTAATTATTCCAAAGAGGCAGGTGGCGACCGAGGGGACCGCGTGTGGTTGCTCAGCCACACCACGCCCCTGCAATACCCTGCCCTGGCTGTGGGTGTTTGCTCCCCCATCGGCTCACGGCATGCACCGCGAGTAGTTCCCCTCCCCTTATCCTTATTTTCGTGCCAGTATACATCTATCCCGGTCCATTTCTTTTTTTCTTTCCCGCGTCTCCTCGCCGGTTCGTGCACGTGCGGTTGTACATGCGCAGCGGCGCTGATATACGGGGGTTGGGGAAGATTCGTGCACACGCAATACTTATGCCGAGGAAGGAAGAATCGGTACCCTCGCATCGTCAGCTGATTTCGTCCCTTATTTTTCGCTCGACGAAACGAAGAATTATCGCTTCCAGAGGATATGGGGGGAATAACACAATTTTATCGGACGAGTGATTTGTGTTTGGCGCAAAGTGCACGATGTATACGTCGCTGATGCGCTACTAATGTTAATATACATAATGTACATACATATTATGTACTTTTTTAATTTTATTTTTGTTTGGGCACCCGTCGCGCCCCAGTAATTTTTCAACTAAATCACCCGCGCGCCATTGCCTACAAGATGCACGCAACTGCAGGCGAAACAATAAATTTGGCATCAGCCAATAGCAGCGTCGGTGCAAACGGTATATTGGCTGTGGAAGTTTTTTTTTTTTGGTAAAAACAAAAAAATGGACGCAAGGGCGAAAAAAGAATAACGTAACGTTGAGTAGAACCGTTTCACCGGTCATTTTATTACGCGGATAATCAACTCCGTCCGCATTGGGAATCGTGGGTGATAACCGACTGGACCACACGTTTTTCCACCATCACGAAAGCCATTCATAGGGTAGATCGAGCGCCGTCGTAACTTTGGCTCCTCCTTTATCCTTTGTTTTTTCCAAGAGAAAGGTGTAGACGGGAAAACTCGGTAACACGGGTTATACTCTTCGGGTCACTTTCGGCGCCTGAGACCCAGGCGTCCCGCGGGAGCGCGGACTCGTTCCCCGAAATAATCTTCCGTATATATACTGCACCAAAGTCCCCCGACAGCGGGTGGTGACGTGACCCCGGAAAGCCCTGGAAAAGCCAGCATCTGTCGCCTCCTGTATCCATACTGAGGCGAAAGAGAAACTCGATCTCTCGCGCGTCCTATATTCTTCTCCTCTCGAGTATCCAAGTACACACAACGAGGGGAAAACCTAGATTTGAGAACCGGGGAACTTTCGGGACCCTCCCCCCCTTTTTTTCTCCAAGGGATCGTGTACTACTGTACCGCCACTCTATACCAACGTTCATTGTAAAAGAAACTTATTTGCCCAACGATCGAGTAGGCAAGCATTTCAGTCACAATGCTCTCGTCGCGCGAGGCAACGTCAGGGATAATATAAGTCTCTATAGCGTTGGCCTTTGATTTTAATTAGCACTAGAACCATGGAAAGTCCCAAGCACGCGTGTATAATTATATACATCCACCAAAACGCGAAAAGCTCGAGAAAAAGTTGTGAGTCGCGCAAAAAGATCACAAAGACGAGTTGTACATCCGGGTATCGGTGGAATAGCTGTACGAACGAATAGACGCCCCCGTGGAAGGGTTCCATATCAACCGTTTCTGCGCTTTCGCGCCCGGAGATGCAGAAATGAGAGCACATCCCCGGGAGAGAGAGGGCCTCTCGATCTCTCCCCCGTGGCATTGAAAACGTCAGCAGTTCTTCGATATCCGAGAGAAAAGAGAAAAAGATGTTCGCTTCTCCCCCCCCTCCCTCTTCTCTTTCTTTTCCGTTTTCGGCACGTTGCGCGCTCCGCCTCTTATCGACTTTTTGCGAGGATTAAAATTGGCTGGGCATACCTTGTACCTACATGTTAAAGGGTTTCGGGACATATTCTGATCTGCTTTATTTTCCGTTGACACCGTCATTTGGTGACTAATATAATAGAGAAAAGCGTAATTTTTATTGTATTTTTTTATGTATACGAAAGAGCATTCGAAACATACCGAAGTTATTCTTGTACCCACATGCACAAATATTACTCCCGGCGGGTCTATACGCTCGGAATTATTGTTCATCGATGATCTTCGCTTTTCCATGATGGTGTGTACACCCATATACTCGTTCCACCGGAGTATGTATAGTGATATAATAATAATAATTTCGACGTCGATCAAGCCGCAGAAAACCGGCTCTCGAAAAACCGTGACAAAGATAATCGGCATCTAATTTTAGAGAGACGTCGCCGCGGGAGCCGGGATGACGTCTCGAAAAAAACAACATCGCGTGCCGGGCACTGTTTCCATTCGAACGAGTGAGTACATTGGGATTCGAACTCGCTGTACGGCGTGTGGATTTACGTGATAGGCTCCCGCGACATCGGTACCATAGCGGTGAAAATTGAAAGCTGTAGGTATACACCTTGAATCCCAAAACTGAAACCTAAGGTATACCGATGGTAAGCATCGGAGGCGTCGAACAAAAATTCCCTCGACCAAGTTGCTACACGGGCGAGCCGAGCGGAGTTAATCGTGAGAATATCATACGCGCGTGTGCGTGTGTATATAGGTATGGGTACTGCTGCAAGAAAGAGCCGACGCGGTGGAGTCAACGCTCCCCCGTTGCAGCCTTTTTTTTCTCTCTCTCTCTCCGACTTATTTACGCTCAAAGTTGCAGCGCTTCGTTCCTCTCTCTCTCTCTCTCTCTCTGCGCGCCAGGTATATAGGGATGTAAAGGGTATACGAAGGATTACGCCAAAAATACGTCGTTTTCGGGTTTCGGGAATGAATTTTAACAAGCCCACTCGGGTTCTTCGGTACTATCAATTTTTTCTTTATTCTATAGTACTTAGTCCATGAGTTGAAATCTTGAAAACCATTTTCTCGCTATGAAGTAAGCCAAGGGATGGGTAAGCCAATGATGATTATCAGGCAAGTACCCCGAAATTGGAGAAAATTTGAAATTTCTCGACCGAGATCGGCAAACCATAAATGAAGAAATTGCGTCACGAGACTTCGGTGCGCGGTGCACGAAAGAAAAACAAGTTGCCTATAATCCAAGTAAAAAAGATTATCCTTTTCCGCGGACTTCCTCACCCGCAGGTATATATACATTGCATTCGTGCATCTTCTCTCGTATACTCCTCTCTCTCTCTCTCTCTTCTCCATATTTTCTCCCCTTTTCTCCCGTATACCGCGCGCGTCGTCAGCATCGGCTTATATTGTAAACGCGAACCCCTTGCCTCTCCCCCCTCCTCCCGCGAGAGAGATCGGTATCTCTCGCCGCGGCGCACTGCATTTTCTCCTCCGCTTGATCTCCCCGAACATATAGAGGCAAGGCCCTGTATACGCTGCAGCCACCGTCGCGCGGATGGGCTCCGATATTTCCTCTTTCTTTTTTTGTCCTGGTCCTCTCGGGTCCTCCGACACGGCAACAACTTTGGCAGTCAAGGTAAACCGGCCTCCTTTTCTTCTTCTGCTACTTTTGCCTTCCCTCGGATGGGATGCCGCTGCAGCTCCTCCTCTATATTGCCAATGCTTTCGAACGCGATACACATACACGTTCTTTTTCCTCCGTGTGTCTCCTCCTCTGCCCGACTAACGAGCCATATATCTCGAACGTGCCCCCCCTATTACCAATAGGTACTCGCGGTGCCACTTACCTCTATGTATATATATGTTTGTATTGTACGGGTGTATAAGTATACCTTTGCGCTTTTACTTTATTCTTGCGTTGCGGCGCCTTTGGAAACGTCCAAGTGATTGAGCGACGCGAATCGATGAAACGTTGCGCGCATTCCTTTTGTGTGGGCCATATTTATACTTGTGTATGGTACGGTTGCATAAATTTCATTCCTCGACGCCGAAATACGGAGGAGAACCGCACACATAAGTATATTGTATTGTATACATTCTGGAGTCGCAGCGGTACTTATATTGGTGATGCCTGTACTTTTGAAACAAAGATGTAGAAACAAAGTAAAAGAAAATTTCACCATATAGATTCCCCGGCGAAATACCATTTGCTTCTTTTCTCCCAGTACCCATGGAAATGATTGTACATTTGAAACTGATGAATTAGCGTCTGATTCTTTTTTATCTTTTTACAATATTCGTGCAATGTAGGTGTACACGACACGATAATACATTCATAATATACATTTGTCGGTATTTGCTTCGTCAGGCATCGTAAAAGTACACCTATACTGCTTATAGATATTTCCGT